CCCTTGTTTGTCAGACCCCTCTTGGCCACGTGCTAGGGGTCTTGCTCTCTCGGTTGCAAACAACCACACACTATCTCCTCACCTTGCCTCCGTTGTCGAAGATGCATGTGTGATATGTTTGCATAAGACACGCACGCTTTTTCTCTCCTTTTATCGTGTGTTGTCCATGTCTCTTTCACACACGCACACACACTTTTTTCACTCTCTCTCTCTCTCTCTCTAGTTAGGGACTCTATCACGTCCATAAGCATATGGATGTTTTCAAAAGTCAAACCTCAGAAAAGTTTGACCAGGTATATGTGGAGAAAAACATTTACATCTGGAATGATCATTAGATTCATCACAACATGTACTTACTTCATACTATCATTTATCTCTGGTATTGTAGATATAAGTAATTTCTTTATAAACTTGGTCAAAGTTTCAAAATTTGACTTAAAAAAATGTTGGAACTACATTATCGAACGGAGGGAGTAGCTCTTTCTCTCTCTCTCTCTCTCTCTCTCTCTCTCTCTGCTATCTCTCACGGGCCTCCCCTCTCACTCGAACTCTCTATACCAACGGATTATACGCTCACTGTGTCAGTGTATAGCTCCGTATATTGTTTAGTTGACCGGTCAACCAATCCACATGCTGCCTTGTCAGCTCGTGTTCTGTATCTTCGTGTGCTGGGCCATGTGGCAGTGGGTGAAAATAAGCAAACTAGAGGCCCATCTGACACGCGGGGAAGTAAACAAAGTTGAAACCACTCGGGGTAGCACCCCGCACGCTAGTAAATTGAGGGCGCATTGAGGACAAACTTCTTGCGTGCAAATGACGCACTTGCGCACAATTCACCACTGCGCGGCGGCATGCACAGAAGGATGCACTCGCGCACACCTAGCACACAACACACACCAGCACATGTGTACACCGGCGTCGCCGCCGGTTGATATGGACGGCGAGGCAGCGAACAAGCGGAGGCAGCTCGAGCCAAAACCGCATCCGGCGAGCCTGGACTTCATCAGCAGCCTCCCCGACGACATGCTGCTCGTCATCATCGGCCTCCTCCCCACCAAATCTGCCGTGCGGACCGCCCTACTCTCCCGGTGGTGGCGCCCCCTCTGGTGTTGCATCCCCCTCAACCTCACCGTCGATAGCTACCTCTGCGATGGGGATTGCAAACGCATGGCCGCCGTCTCCAAGATCCTTTCATCGTACCCTGGGACAGCCAGACGCCTTGTCATCCGCATGTTCAGTACCAACTGCAAGGTCCAACCCAAGTTCGACGAGTGGTTCTTATCCCCTGCCCTAGATCAGCTCGAGGAGCTCAACTTTGAAGCTGGACGATGTCGCTCTCTGTCGCCGTCCACGCTCCGCCTCACGCCAACGCTGCGCCACGCCAGCTTCAGCTCCTGCTATCTTCCCCAGATTAATGTCGCGCCCGCCCTTCTTCTCCCTCAACTCAAGCAGCTCGACCTCTTGGACGTTGTCATCTCGAAGAAGGCTATGGAGCACCTGCTTCGAAGTTGTACTGCGCTCGAGTACCTTCGTCTTGAGCAAATCCATGGGTTCATTAGCCTCCACATTGCCTCGACGAATCTATGATGGATTTATGTGTCTTGCTGGCCCCGCAACAAGACATCAATTGGGAAGATATCACTCCAGCTGTTCCACATTATGGTCACTGAGAATGCACCTTTCCTTAAGAGATTGCTTGTATCGGATCTAGAAGGTTCAACAAAAATCAGGGTCATTGACGCGCCGAAATGGACAGCGTTGGTGTACTCGTCTGCCAAATTCTCCGAACTCTTTATTGGGTCCATAATCGTTCAGGTACAGCACTCATCTTCTTTTCTGTCTTCTTGAAATTCACATTTTTAAATTTCTTCTTGATGTATTTACGACCGTCTTCCAGAAAATGATTCCCACAAGCTTGACCCAGTCCATGCGCACAGTGAAGATCTTAGCACTAAAATCAATCGGCCCCAATCTGGATCAATTTGTTGGATCCCTTACATGCTTTCTGTGCACGGAGAAGCTACTCATCGAGGTGAAACTTCTTTCCTATAAGTAAACGGTAATCACAATGTAGCTCAATTTTTTCATAATTTTCCCAAATTATGATGACAAGTGTAGTGTTCAAAACTGCATCCACACACTGCACCGAAAGAAATGTTTTTAGTATTTTTTTCTCATGTGATCACCTGCATCATTTTTATGTTGTACTACTATAGTAGCCTAGACTAGTCATAGTGGAAAGTAACTTAGACTACTCCGGTAACTCTATGGTTACCCTAAGAGCAAGTACTACCTCCGTCCTGGTTTACTCTTCCAATTTTGTAGTATCAAATTTTGACCATAGATTTAACTGACAAAATGTTAATGCATGTCACTAAGAACTATATCGTTGGATTCGTATTTGAACATAATTTCGAATGGTGTAATTTTTAGTGACATGCATTGGCATTTTCTTAGGTAAATCTATGGTCAAAATTTTATACTAAATACGAGGTAGTATTCCCTCCGTCCCAAAATTCTTGTCTTACATTTGTTTAGATACGGATGTATCTAACACTAAAATGTAACTAGATACATCAGTATTTAGACAAATTTAAGGCAAGAATTTTGGGACGGAGGGAGTACAAAAGTGGGATATGTAGGCCAAAACATGTGCCAAATTCACTTGTGATGCATTTGGCATCGATGCCCCTCCATTGCCCACCTGGTGCCCCAATCTGGATCACCTACTTTGCTCCGGTGCCAAATTAACTCGCGCAATGAAAAAACACTGTGTGGGAGAGAGAGAGAGGACTGAGGCAATAAAAACACACTTGTTTGGGAGAGTGATAAGCACATTTCATATATATAATTTTGGCACACAAACACACCATTTATTGTGATCCGACGATCCATTCTTGCTGTGAACTATGATATATTTGAATGAAAATCATATAAAAGATCAATTACTCGTCATTTGATTATTATGCAAAAAAGTGCGCAAAGGCACTATAATCTTCAAGATTTGGACGAATTGGCCATTGAGAAGAGAGAAGGGAAGGAAAGAGGTGAAGAAAGGGACCTGATCATGAAGGAAAGAAGAATCCGGGGGCCAAAACTAAAGATGGAGGGGATCGACTTTGGAAGAAAGAAGGAAAGGAGGAGGGCCAAATTGCAATATGGGCTGATCAACCGTGGGGTAAAGATCCCTAGACACCCTGATTCCCAAATCGGGCCTGGCATCTCCATCTCCCTCACCCCACCTTCTCCACCATCGGCCGCCGCCGCAGCCAGGCCGACGTGGGGCGCACCACCGCTCCACCGCGCCTCCACCTTCACCGCGCCCTCCATCCACCAGCACCTCCATACACCACCATCCATCCACTCCATCACCACCTCGCGCCGCTGCACCATCCATCAGCGCCACCCCTTCACCACCATCACTTGCGCGCCCGACCAGACAAGGTGTCTGATCCCCCGTGTGCCTCCAACTGCTGCTGCTTCCCCCCTCGTCCCTACTGCTCCTACTCCACTTCCTCTGCTCCCCTTCTTCTTCTCTGAATCTCGATGCTGCTGCTCTTCTTCCCTTGCCTCACTGCTCTTGGTCCTCCTCTCAAAGTCCTCTTGGTGCTGCTCCGCTTCTCCCCATGAACTTGCTGCTGCTCCGCTTCTCCCCATGAACATGCTACTGCTCTGCTTCCTGATGCCCTTTCTTCATCTCTGAACCCATCTTTGTTGTTGTTCTTCCTCACCAAACTGCTGCTGCTCCCAACCCCTTGCTGCTATCTCTCTCTACTGCCCCTGCTACCCTTCTTCTCTGAACCTACCTACTCCTTCTCTCTCTCTCTCTCTCTCTCTCTCTCTCTGAAATACCTGTGCAATTGAGATGTTTGAGACTTTGTAAGGTTCAGACTTTGTAAAATTCAGAATTGAGATGTGTATGGTGTGTAATGTTCAGATTTGACTAGTGTAAGCATCTTGTTATTTGTTCAGTTTGGTACTGGTATAATATAGTACTTGTTATGTTGGATCTGACTAGTGGAGGCCTTGTTAATTTGGGAGATTATTAGAATTTGCTTCTCTGAATTAGTATTCTGTTAGCATATGATGTGTTCACCCCTTTGTGTGGTTGTTCCTTATTGAAATTTATTCCATTGTCCATGTGTTAGCTCTATTACATGTGCTATATAAATACATGTGTGTTTGTGGTGTAAACCATCTATATTGTGTCTTATAATCTTGTTTCTCCCATCTCTTACATGTTAGATAGTCATTTGTGTTCACTTCCCTTTTGTCGATAATGTCCGTGTTAGTATTTTAATTTCTCAAGCATTACAAAAATACCAAAAAGATTCTTGAAGATAATCTGAACCTTTCTGTACTTTATTTTGCATTTTCTTTGTCGACGATCTTTGGGAACGACCTTGTTAGTTTATGTTTTACTTTTTGCATTCATCTCTTAAAATTGTGTTATCTAGATTTAGCCGAGCATAGTCATCGTCGCATAGTCCCTGTGGAGAACACGACATCCGTAGTTTGGGGTGTAAAAACCCCGTTATATTACAAACGATCATTTTGGCGCCGTTGCCGGGGATTAGCATCGAGTGACCGTGTTAGGCTATAGACTAGGTTTTTCTTCCTTTTCTAGTTTGTGCTATATATTTGTGATATATCTCTAACCACTAACCCCTATTCTAGTTAGTATCTTTTTTGTTTTCTTTTGCCTTTTGCAGGTTAGAACTATCTTCTCGGTTATGGCTTACTATCCAGATCATCTGGCTTATGCGAGCAACACTACAAACAGCACAGAAAGTATTCAAGAACTGATAAGCAAGATTTCCCATCAATTAGATGATTTAGCTTAGTAGCGAGGAGTAGTTTTTGAGGATAGGCCTAGTTCTTATTATTCTTATTCCGGACGCAATCCTTATGTTGCTCCTACATGCCATATTTGTGGATTTCAGGGCCATTTGCCCGCTGAATGTCAGCGTGGTTACTCTCACACTCCTAATTGTTTTGGCATGAGCTTCGCTCAAGAGCATAGCTCATACCAAAACAATTACTCACATGGGTGGCCTGAAAACCCGAATATGTCATATAGGAGCAACAACCCTGAGATCTCATCGTTTGCTTCTAGTAATCATATGCACGGATTTAGGTATGAAGAGGAGAGCAACAACTATGCACCACAACAATTTTATTCACATTCTACTCATGTACCTCAGCACCAGGAGATGTGTCCAACGGAGTTAAATGGTCCTCCATTTGGTCAACCAACACCTTCAACACAAGTGCCTACTCAAGATGAGTTCGATGACATAGACAAGCTCGCACTTTGGAGTCTCGAGTTCACTTGGAGTGCCGAGGATGATCCTATTAGGAAGGTCATACTAGATGAAATGAAGAAGATCAAGAGTGGGAATGAGCTAGTGGAAGAACTAAAGAAGATTGAGAAGAACATCAACGCTGGCAGTACTATTTTTTCACAGCTTGAGCTGAGTAATTCTGGGATTCCCCTTGATACATGTGAGGTTCCAATACCGTCACATCCAGCTGAGCAAGATAGCAAGTGCCTTGAGCAAGAGATACCTCAGGTTGAAGAAGATGAACTAGAAGACAAGGAACAAGATGATCAAGGGCTGCAATTCCCAAGTGATCAAGTTGAAGACTCGTCATCTACTACTCCTGAAGAAGTAAAATAAGCTTCTGTAGATGAAGATGAAGAACCTGAGATTCATTGGCCTATTGTCATACATGAGCGTGATGTGTCAAGTTTTCCCAATCCTCTTGATGACATGCTCCCTTATGATTTCGTTGCTTCTACCTTGCATTACATGATACCATCACTTAAGATTGATTTGAAACCTCATTTGCTTGGATATGATGATATATACCCTGTTAGTGGCATTACTCTCATTTGTGATGATCATAGTTACTTTCCTCGTGCTAGTCCTATGCTTAATGAAACATATCATTCCCATGCTAGTCTTGAGCTTAATGATAAATATCATCCTCATGTTAGTGTTGACCTTGCTGATTTCTACCATCGTAAACATGTGCTTTATAGCTATGGTTATGTAATTGGATATTCGATTGATGACTGGGAGGGTATTATCCCTACCACTTGCATTGTCTCTTTCGTTGAGTGCTCTTTCAGGTTCTTGCTTGTGCACGATCCACTACATGCTGACCAAGTTCGAGATGACATTCCCTGGGACCCCGGTGGACCCATGGCATGGGGATGAGGAGAAGCAAGGAGCACACATGAAGAGAGAAGCTGGAGCAGGCATGAGGATAGGGAAGCAAAAGGAGAGGAGTCACAAAGCACGAGGATGTGAGAGTGATTGAGCGAGACCTTCATCAAATAAGCCCGGTGAGCTATTTCATGACCCCAATCTGAATACCATCATACATTATACATGCTGTAGTCAACTGCTATTTGGGTCGCTTGAGCAATATCTTAAATATCGTCCCACTGAATTTTACCTTCGACATAGGGTGATTGATGTGAATATGTGAACTGAGTGTTGAATGCCTTGTAAACTAGTGATCTACATATTGATTTCTTTGCTGAAATTAGTGAAAGTTATTAGTTTTGAGTGCTCAAATCCTTAGTACACTAGAAAACTCAATCATTTTCTGCTTTTACCTCGATACACCTAGATCACGACGTTTAGATGCTAAATTTGTGCCAAGTGTCTTCCCATTGAGAGCAATCACCTAACCACTATGGATTAGCATGCTATGTTCCCTGGATCGGTAGCATGTGAACCAAACATGGAGAAGTGATGGTCCCTGTTTTTGTTCTTATGCGTTGTTCATTTAAGATAAGTAATAATGAATAAATAAGTCTGCCTACCTACAGTAGCATGTCATGTTCCCGGGATCAGTGGCATGTGAAATCGGGTTAGCTTGGGCAGTAATTAATAATAATAATAATGTAATTGTCGAACCAGGTGTATACCGTGTTCTCGGGATCGGTGGAATGTTCCTTTGTGGAGACAAACAAAAAAAACTATATAATTGGTCGAGCCGGGTGTATACCATGTTCTCGGGATCAGTGGTATGTTCCTTTGGTGAGATCAATAAAATATTATCATTACTTCCTTCAAATTCAATTAGTGGTTCAACCACAAAGTTATATTTCTGCAAATAAGAGATTTAATTCCAGTTCATTTTTGGTCTCGGGATCATGCTCTCTTTAGGAACCTTTTGGCACAATCAACATTTGAATTTGTTGATCCATTTTTATCATTGTAAAATTTTAAAATTATTGAGTCTACTAGTATCCTATTGCTTTGTAGCACTCTTAACCATTGATTTTCATTAGCTAAGTCCAAAGCATGCTTTGTTTAGAGATCTACTTCACTTGACATTCTCTAGTCAGTTCACTGTTCATGTTCTTGCTTTTGTCATATGCCTTTGCTTGAGGATAAGCAAAGATTTAAGTGTGGGGGAACTTGATAAGCACATTTCATATATATAATTTTGGCACACAAACACACCATTTATTGTGATCCGACGATCCATTCTTGCTGTGAACTATGATATATTTGAATGAAAATCATATAAAAGATCATTTACTCGTCATTTGATTATCTTGCAGAAAAGTGCGCAACGGCACTATAATCTTCAAGATTCGGACGAATTGGCCATTGAGAAGAGAGAAGGGCAGGAAAGAGGTGAAGAAAGGGACCTAAGCATGAAGGAAAGAAGAATCCGGGGGCCAAAACTAAAGATGGAGGGGATCGACTTTGAAAGAAAGAAGGAAAGGAGGAGGGCCAAATTGCAATATGGGCTGATCAACCGTGGGGTCAAGATCCCTAGACGCCCTGATTCCCAAATTGGGCCTGGCATCTCCATCTCCCTCACCCCACCTTCTCCACCACTGGCCGCCGCCACAGCCAGGCTGGCGTGGGGCGCGCCACCGCTCCACCACGCCTCCACCTTCACCGCGCCCTCCATCCACCAGCACCTCCATACACCACCATCCATCCACTCCATCACCACCTCGCGCCGCTGCACCATCCATCAGCGCCACCCCTTCACCACCATCACTTGCGCGCCCGACCAGACGAGGTGTCTGATCCCCCGCGCGCCTCCAACTGCTGCTGCTTCCCCCCTCGTCCCTACTGCTCCTACTCCACTTCCTCTGCTCCCCTTCTTCTTCTCTGAATCTCTATGCTACTGCTCTTGCTCCTCCTCTCAAAGTCCTCTTGCTGCTGCTCCGCTTCTCCCCATGAACTTGTTGCTGCTCCACTTCTCCCCATGAACCTGCTGCTACTCTGCTTCCTGATGCCCTTGCTTCATCTCTAAACCCATCTCTGTTGCTGTTCTTCCTCACCAAACTGCTGCTGCTCCCAACCCCTTGCTGCTATCTCTCTCTACTGCCCCTGCTACCCTTCTTCTCTGAACCTACATACTCCTTCTCTCTCTCTCTATATCTCTCTCTCTCTCTCTGAAATACCTGTGCAATTGAGATGTTTGAGACTTTGTAAGGTTCAGACTTTGTAAAATTCAGAATTGAGATGTGTATGGTGTGTAATGTTCAGATTTGACTAGTGTAAGCATCTTGTTATTTGTTCAGTTTGGTACTAGTATAATATAGTACTTGTTATGTTGGATCTGACTAGTGGAGGCCTTGTTAATTTGGGAGATTATTGATCTATTAGAATTTTCTTCTCCGAATTAGTATTCTGTTAGCATATGAATGTGTTCACCCCTTGTGTGTTTGTTCCTTAGTGAAATTTATTCCATTGTCCATGTGTTAGCTCTGGTACATGTGCTATATAAATACATGTGTGTTTGTCGTGTAAACCATCTATATTGTGTCTTATAATCTTGTTTCTCTCATCTCTTACATGTTAGATAGTCATTTGTGTTCACTTCCCTTTTGTCGATAATGTCCGTGTTAGTATTTTAATTTCTCAAGCATTACGAAAATACCAAAAAGATTGTTGAAGATAATCTGAACCTTTCTGTACTTTATTTTGCATTTTCTTTGTCGACGATCTTTGGGAACGACCTTGTTAGTTTAGGTTTTATTTTCTGCATTCATCTCTTAAAATTGTGTTATCTAGATTTAGCCGAGCATAGTCGTCGTCGCCTAGTCCCTGTGGAGAACACGACATCCGTAGTTTGGGGTGTAAAAACCCCGTTATATTACAAACGATCAGAGAGTGAGAGGCTGGTGTAGTTGGTTTGATTGATTTGTTTATACATGTGGGTCTGTGTGCACAGCGGTGCCAACTCTCTCACATCGCGAGAGCAGTGCCAAAATCTTTTGATTTGACATTGATGCGTATTATGTGGCATACTTTTGCGAAATATTGCATCGGCCACATAGTGGAAGGCAACAAATGCCCAAGCTCTTCACGTAATCCTAGTTAAATGAGAGGAAACAGAGAGAGAGAGAGAGAGAGAGAGAGAGTGAAAATATCACTAGCCATCCAACCCTATCGTATGAGCGAATGATATTGGTACCTCTTGATGACACGACAATATTATGCAGCCAGCTGCTGTAATATGTTCTCTTCTTTTGCAGATAAAAAAAGACCCGAAAGTGAAAAATGTGTTGCACTATAACAATCTCATCGAATGCCTTGATCTCCATCTTACAGAAATTGATTTGATCGACTTCCGAGGCAGCACATCTGAGATTAAATTGGCCAAGTTCTTTGTTCTGGAGGCAAGTGTGCTCAAGGTAATGAGGTTTGGCGTTCTCTGGCGCAATAATGAATGGTGTGCTGATCACGGCAAGTGTCTAAGCCTAAATGAAAAAGTCTCCGCAGAAGCTGAATTTGTTTTTGAAACATCAAGTGACCAGAGACTCGAAAACTTATTTTCCCTTTAGTGACTTGTCAGGGCGGTGGATTTTAGTTTGTACGGTAATGCTACATCCACCTAAAGTAACGAAAGTTCTTACGTAAACTTCCTAGTAATTCCCTCTTCGTAGGTGTAGCATTACTCCTAACATTTGTAATATCAAATTGAAACTTGTAATATTATCGTGTCCTATTCCTGCGTTTTCAAAATCCTGCGAATCAAACAGGTCCTGAGTTGGTGATGATATTGTGCCTCCCATCTTTCACCAATAGCCGTCGGATCTAGATCTGACGCATACAAACCAAGATTCTCCATTTTTGCAAAAAGATGCCCGCACTTGTTCCCTATTTACAAACAACTCCTTGTCTCTCACAATCAGCCTTATCTCCTCCACACCACATCTAGAAGGCCGTTGATGTCTACTACACAACCTTCTTCTTGTAGACGTTGTTGGGCCTGCAAGTGCACAGGTTTGTAGGACAGTAGAAAATTTCCCTCAAGTGGATGACCTAAGGTTTATCAATCCGTAGGAGGCGTAGGATGAAGATGGTCTCTCTCAAAAAACCCTGCAACCAAATAACAAAGAGTCTCTTGTGTCCCCAACACACCCAATACAATGGTAAATTGTATAGGTGCACTAGTTCGGCGAAGAGATGGTGATACAAGTGCAATATGGAAGGTAGATAAAGGTTTTTGTAATCTGAAATAATAAAAACAACAAGGTAACTAATGCTAAACATGAGCGTAAATGGTATTGAAATGATAGGAAACAAGGCCTAAGGTTCATACTTTCACTAGTGCAAGTTCTCCCAACAATAATAACATAGATAGATCATATAACAATCCCTCAACATGCAACAAAGAGTCACTCCAAAGC